GCGTACCATTTTCCGCTACATATTTATCTGAAACAACCTCACCTATTCTTACCTGTAATTTTCTGTTTGTTAAAAAGTCTTTAATCCATTCATATACATTTCCTTTGATCCCCAATTTGTATAATTTAATTAATAAACCCTCTACCCACATCATATCATGTGCTTTCTCAATATCAAAAAACACAGCCACTACACTTTCTTTGTTTACTTGAGCTTTTCTGACTTCATGCTCAAGACATAACGTGGAGTCATTAGTACTCCTCCCTTTCCGAAAACCACTTTAATAATCAGAAATATATACCTTTTTATTTAGATAATACACTAACCTACTATTAATCATTTTTTCCATTATTTTGCATAAGTTTGAAGTTAATGCTATTGACCTGTAACTTTCTGTTTTTGAATGATCTTTTCCTGGTTTAGCTATTGGTACAATAATTGATTCCTTCCATAACTCTGGTAATTTCCCCTCCTCCCAGATTTTGTTAAATAATTTCAATATTATCATTTTTGACTTATCACTTAGTTGATTTATCATCCTATACCATATTTTATCTTTACCTGGCGCTGTATTTTTGGTCTGTTTAAGCACTCCGTTTAATTCCACTTTGGTAAACTCCACATTCAGAAAATTATTTGTATCTTCCTCATTCTCCATTAAATTTTTATACTTAAGAACAGTATTTTCTCTCCCTTTTCTTCCCTCTTCGCTAATGTTATTTGTGCTATGTATCTTACTAAATAATGTTGCCAATACCTCAGCTTTATCCTCATCTCTAATTATATTAACATTCTCTACTTTTAATACAGGATAATCAAACTCTTTTCAATACCATTCATATTTTAATTACTTTCCAAATCTTCTGTTTTTGTATCTCTCCCTATTGAACTACTAAAATGTCTCCAATAATCTCTTAGCTTTCTTTATAATCCTCCTTACTGCTGCTTGCTTCCTTTTATAATCAATAAGTTCATATAAACTGGGTTATGTTTTAATACCTTCAAGGCTTTATTTCTTCATTTAATTGCTTCCTTACACTCACTTGTCCACCATGGCACCTTTTTCTTATCATTAATACTCCCTGACTTTTTAATAGAGTTTTCTGCTGCTTCCATTATTACCTTCGAGATATTTGCATTTACTTCATTTATATGCATATTAAAATCTACCTTTTCTAAATACATTTCACTCAAATATCTAAACTTACTCCAATCAGCCTTATTAAAGTTAAATATTTCCCCTCTATTTTTATACTTATTTCCAATTATTCCTACCCTTATAGTTATAGGATAATGATCACTACCTACTGTAGTTTCTTTATCAACTGACCATACCAGCTACATCATTTGATACAATTGATAGATCAATAGATGATTCCATCCCCGTTCTTATATTGATTCTTGTTCCCCTTCTCTCATTAATACATACCAAATTTTTTATTTCAATTATTTCTTCTATAATTTGCCCATTCTTATCATTACTATTACCCCACAGTGTACTTTTTGCATTGAAATCCCCACACCAGATTACTCTCCCCTCCAAATACTCTACTAATTCCACCATTATTTCAGCAAATAACGACTTACATGGATTATAAACATTTATTATTTTAAATTTACCTCCCTGCTCCCAGAACTCAATTACTATGAATTCTAGTTCTTTTCCTAAAAGCTGATATTTTATCCCTGGTTTTATAAATATTCCCCCTCCCTCTTCTCCATCTCTTCTTATACCATCATATCCTCTAATCACAAAATCTAATGTTACTTTTAACCAAGTTTCCTGCACACATATTAAATCCGGTTGGACTTCAAGCTGGTCAATATAACCTTTAAATTCCTGTCCATTAGCTACCAAACTCCTAGCGCTCCATTGCAATATGAACATAAACTACTTTCACTTGCTGGTCCCGACTTCTTATCCACCTCTAACTTTTTATTTATTTCTTCCCATGTTCCTTCCTTAAAGCCCAAGAATATTTCAGCTCCTCTCACTATTATTTTAATCTTCTGGTTTTGTGCTTAGCTTGATCAGTACAGTTGATAACAGAAGCTATGAATAAAACTAGATTTTCCACTGAGTAAGTGACCTTTTCTTCTGCTAGTATTTTAGTTTGCTGTATTGTTTGACTCCCCATTTGCTCCACCTCTTTTTTCCTGCTCCTTCACATTTTTTACAGCTTCTGCATAGCTTATATTTGTAGATGTTTTAATCTGCACAGCTTCTTTAGCCTCTTCCTTACCTCCCATCCTCCGTACGTAACCCTATGATTCCCCACAGTTACAACATTTCTCTTGTACATCTTCCTTACATTCTTTATGATCTTCCCCACATTTTGGACATCTCTGCTTTCCTTTACAAACTGCCGCAATGTGTCCAAACCTTTGGCATTTAAAACACCGAAGTGGTGGAGGAACATAAGGTCTGACTTGGAAACTTATAAATCCTATTTTTATATTACTTGGCAGCTCTTTTCCTTCAGACTCCACTAGGACTGACTGACTCCCCACTCTCTCACCATCCACAGTTCTTCACAGCCTTTTCACATTAGTCACCTTTGCTCCAACAATATTTCTCTTAAGTTTTTCCAGATCCTCATCTAGAGGGATCCCATAGATCACCCCTCTGATTGTTTTATTTCCTCCCAACATTGTTTTCTCCAGCTCAGCTCTTTTACATATATTATCCACATTGAAGGCCTTATTCTTTTCTCTATATTCTTACATTCTATCAATAGGTTTCCGTCTCTCTAAATCTTTACCATTTCAACGTCTCCTATTTTCTTTTTAATTTCTCTTGACACCCCAATTGGGCTGATTTTCTCCTGACCTTCCTCACTCCTAACTTTCAGAATTACTTTAAATTCCTCACATCTTTTCTCCTAACTCTCTCTTCCTCTGAACTGCTTCCATCTAGATCCCGTTTGCTACCTTGACTATCTCTGATTCCCTTCATCTATTTCATTCCTTCCTCTCCCTCTTCCCACTGCCGTCCATCCTTCATCTTCCCCTTCTTCTTCATTACTTGTCTCCATTTCCATCCGATCCATTCACATACCAGTTTATGCCAAAACCCGCCTTTTCCACACTCCAAGTTTTGTTCCACAATCCTAGATCTTTCGTTCAAAAGCAACAAACTCCTCAATCCTTCGTCCCAAAACTCCTGCAGGTGCATCCANATTTCACTCAAATATCTAAACTTACTCCAATCAGCCTTATTAAAGTTAAATCTTTCCCCTCTATTTTTATATTTATTTCCAATTATTCCTACCCTTATAGTTATAGGATAATGATCACTACCTATTGTAGTTTCCTTGTCAACCGACCACTCACAGATACCAGCTATATCATTCGATACAAATGTTAGATCTATATCTGATTCCTTCCCCGTTTTAACATCGATTCTTGTACCCCTTCTCTCATTAATACATACCAAATTTTTTATTTCAATTATTTCTTCTATAATTTGCTCCTTACCATTACCCCACACCAGATTACTCTCCCCTCCAAATACTCTACTAATTCCACCATTATTTCAGCAAATAACGACTTACATGGATTATAGAAATTTATTATTTTAAATTTACCTCCCTGCTCCCATGTTTCAATTATTATGAATTCTAGTTCTTTCCCTTTTCCTAAGACCCGATATTGTATCCCTCGTTTTATAAATATTCCGCAACCACCTCCTCCTCCCTCCTCTCGATCTCTTCTTATACTAACATATCCCCTAATAACAAAATCCAATGTTGGCTTTAACCAAGTTTCCTGCACACATATAATATCTGGTTGGACTTCTAGCTCATCGATATATCCTTTAAATTCCTGTCCGTTAGCTATCAGGCTCCTAGCGTTCCATTGAAGTATTAGCATAAACTACTTTCACCTGCTGCTCCCGACTTCTTGTCCACCTCTAACTTTTTATTTATTTCTTCCCATGTTCCTTCCTTAAATCCCAAGAATTTTTCAGCTCCTTTCACTATTATTTTAATCTTCTCGGTTTTGTTCTTAGCTTGATCAGTACAGTTAATAACATATGCTATGAATAAAACTAGATTTTCCACTGAGTAAGTTATCTTATCTTCAGGTATTATTTTAGTTTGCTGTTTTGTTTGGCTTCCCTTTTGCTCGATCCCTCTTTTTTCCTGTTCCCTCACACTTTTTACAGCTTCTGCATAGCTAATATTTTTAGTTGTTTTTATCTGCACAACTTCTTTAGCCCTCTTCCTAACCTCACAGCCTCCGTATGTGACCCTATGATTTCCCCCACAGTTGCAACATTTCTCTTCTACATCTTCCTTACATTCTTCAAATTTATGGTCTTCCCCACATTTTGGACATCTCTGCTTTCCTTTACATACTGCCGCAATGTGCCCGTACCTTTGGCATTTATAGCACCGAAGTGGTGGAGGTGTATAAGGTCTAACTTGGAAGCTTATATATCCTATTTTTATATTCATTGGCAGCTCTTTTTCCTCAAACTCCACCAGAACTGACATACTCCCCACTCTCTCACCATCCACAGTTCTTGACAGCCTTTTCATATTGAACACCTTTGCTCCAACTACATTTTTCTTAAGTTTTTCTAAATCCTCATCTAGTGGGATCCCATATATCACCCCTCTAGTATTTTTGTTTTCTCCCAACATTTTTTTCTCCAGCACCACTCTTTTACATATGTTTTCCACATTGAAAGCCTTACTCTTTTGTTCTATATCCTTACATTCTATCAAAAGACTTCCATCTCTCAAGATCTTCACCATTTCAACGTCTCCTATTTTCTTTTTAATTTCCCTTGACACCCCAATTGGGCTGATTTTTTCCTGACCTTCCTCGCTCTTAAGTTTCAGAATTACTTTAAATTTCTCATCCACAACTTTTCTCCTAACTACCCTCTCTTCCTCTGAACTGCTTTCTTCTAGATCCCGTTTACTTCCTTGAACATCTCTACTTCCCTTACCGTCACCTACTTTGAATCCTCCTCGTCCTCTTCCTCTCCCTCTTCCCACTGGCGTCCACCCTTCGCATTCCCCTTCTTCTTCATTACTTATCTCCATTTCCATCCGAACCATTCACACACCAGTTTATGCCAATTACCGCCTTTTCCACACTCCAAGTTTGGTGTAATTTTGAGTTTTCGGACAGATGTAACAAACCCCAGTTTTCGCCGCTGCTGCCTCTAATGAAGTTAATGAGCTTCAGCTTCACCAATTTCGTTTTGACGGATG